GAAGTTGGTAAGGTAGCTAGGAGAAGCTGCCTGGTCAGGGGCCCATGGAGGGAAGTCCTTTATTTGAACTGGAAAGGCTCATACTGCAGGAACAGAGACCTGCTGAGGGAATCCATTGTCTGCATGCAGAGGTGCTGGGGGAGAGAGAGAGCCCAGAGAGGGAGCAGGCTGTAAGAATCTGAAACCCATATGGGTGTGTGAAGGGACACTTAGCCTCTAGTATTTTCAGGAGGCAGAAGGAAACTAAAGAAAAGAAGCCTATTACCTGCAGTAGCTGATTGGAGATTTGTTTTTGCTGAGTTACCAAGAAAGACCAAGAAGTCCACTTTCACCAGAATAGCAGAAGCCTTGCCTTTGCCATTTAGTGGTGGATCATAGTTAAAGTTGTGTCGCCATTTATTGTTATGGGAAGGGGATTGTGACCAGAGGGAAATCAACCTAGGTTATGGGGATGAAACTGTTTTAAAGGGTTGTAACCAGGTGAATGTAATTATTGAGGTTGTTTGATGCAGGAGGGGCCACCCAGTGTGTTGGAATTATTCACCCAAAGTTGCTGTTGTAAACTTAATAATAAAACCAACAATTTGAATAAACTATTGACTATTAACTAATATATATTTTTGATTAATCACTTATTTTCTGTATACTGATGTACCTAAGAAAGAAACCACTGTGTTTATTGGGTTTGGAGTAAATTCTTGGGCGGTGAGGGTGAGGCACCCTCTACCTCTCCATGGGACACCTTAGTCAGCAGACCTGCCTGAGGGGGTTCCCAGGGCTACTGGCACCCTGAGGATCCAAAATCTGGCACATTGTTCGGCCTAGTTGCCAGCACAGGTTACAACTATATTCATTTTTCCATATCCAGTATATTGGATACCATCCACTTCATTTGTTCTTCACCTTCTTCCATTTCCTTTTTGTGGAGAAAAGAGAAGGGTGGGGAAGCAAATTAAAGAGAGAGAAAAATGAAAGAGTTTGTGGAGTTTTTCAAGCAACAAGAACAAATAACTCAGGATGAAAATAATGTAAATTTTCACTTCTTGTATTTTTTTTTTTTAAATCACCTCCAGTTAAGATATGTCTCAATCAGTGAAGGGAATCTTGTGCTACTACTGACACAAGTCGTGTCCCTGTTCCGGCTGCATTCACAAAGAAATGTTGACTTTAAATAGAAAAAAATTAGCCCCTTACTGGCTTTAGAAGAATAAAATTACTATGATTCCCAAGGAAGGGGATGGTAAATTTTTAATTCTAGGAGCCAGATTGTAAATAGTATTTTTTCTTCTGTTCATACACAAGTAGCACAATGGGACCTGACTGAAGTTTCTAGGTGCTACCATTAAAAAATATATATATAAATAAATAAAAAATCACACTATGGGTACGTCTACATGAGATGCTATGTTGTTGCAGTGATGAGCTACAGTGATGTCGTCGGGAAGGCTTTGGCTTTCATGACCACAGCCCGCTCTTTGGCGAGAGAGGCAGCGAGCTGCTGGGAAGAGATGGCCTCCACCTCTCTCCCCTAGGGAGGAGGCTCTTCTCAGCCAGA